TTGACAACCGAATAACCGATCAAATCTGAATGATCTGCTCCAAAAGGCGGAGCAAACAGATTACATCTTTCAGCTCGCTCTGACAATTAACGAACACGGAGCAGATTAGACAGAGGAAGTAGATCTGATTTATCGAACGCTTTCCAAGCTAACAGATGGAATCGAGCTAACAGATATGTTATAACCGAAAGCACCAAGTATAAAGATTTTTGATGATGCAAGATAATGCCAGGCCATACGTCCCCCGAGTTGTGAGAATGGAGAAATTATCTAGGAGCTCGGATTCAAATCCCATTGAGAATCTTTGGGACATTCTTGGGACAAGATGACATGAGAAACGTAACTTGAATACTTTGGAAAACGCACGGCAGACACTGTTGATTCAAATTTTGAAAGACCTGGAGCAACATCACATTATGTCTCTTATTTTGGGTATAGGCCGTCTTTGCCAAAAAGTTTTTCGTGTCCGCGGCAAAAATACTCGCTACTGACCCTTCCTTTGGATATTAATTTTCCATTAAATCATTTTACGCTATAAAAAGGAAAGATAATGGAGTGAATACAAAAAAATGTTGAAGAAAGATAAGGATAAGGATGTGATAGTCGAGATGACCAAAGTTTTCGCGCTCGAGTTGCAAACAAAATTTTTTCTACAAACGTCAAAAAATATAGTTCTAAAGTAAAAATATGCATAGCTTGATATAAAAAATAGTGTTGAAGTTGAAATGTAAATATCTCATATATTTTACATAACAATGTGCGAAGTAGATACTTCGCGAACTGTTTTACCTCGTGCATTGTTTTGTTCAAGGTATCATGGTAAGGTAGGAAACTAAAAATATATTATTTTTTCAAAACGGAATATAGCTGCAAAGACCTGCTCCATTACTTAACTAAGTGCACCAGAGGTCTTAGGTAAAAAAACAGTATGATATTTTATTTTTCATTTTCTTTTTGAAACATTTTCAACCGCGCAGGCCTTTTGGGGGCAAATCACCCGATTTGTCCTTACTAGCGAAACAATTCTCATATCTTCATTTTAGAGAAACGATACTGAGCATTTTTTAAAATGAAATATCATAGTGTTTGGAGGTTTTTGCAGCTTTTCCGTTCTGAAAAACTATTTTTTCTCATGATCACTGTTTTCATTTTTATTTTTAAAATCCTAATTGGGGCACCTCAAAACATAATTTCAGAGAAACCATCTTTCGCATAGCTTTTGGTGCCTCGATCATCTCATTTCACGCCCTTCAAAGAGTGTGTACACACTTGTCATGTTTATTTTACAGCTGAACAAGAAACATAAGACACGAATATGTTTTATAAGAGATGGAATGTAATTTTTCTCTAACCCTTCATTGAAAAAGCGCAGACATATTTATATTATTATTTGAAACCATAACATCCCAGGCAACCAGATGACGAATGATCACGTCACAGTGACGTCCCTAATTGGTGATTATTCGTCACAGACGTCACACACCAATTTATGACGTCACTATGACGTACTTTCTATGACGTGATAATCACGTCATCGTTTCGACGTCGAGTGAACGTCACTTAGATGGGTGAAAGTAGACGTCAGTTTCATGACGTTGCAGGGACGTCCTGTCGACGTCCATTTTTCCCAGACCTTCTCTAAACCATGAATACTTATATATTATCATGTGAAACAGAAGTATAACTCATGAAAGCAAATCAACATGCAAGTTTTATTCTGATTATCAATATACTCGAAAAGTAGTAGAAGAACTTTTTTCTAAAAAACTTTGACAAACTGTATATCTCGGAAACCAACAAACAATGTATGTATAAAAATGATTGTTGAGGTATACCTATATGGAAACCGTTACTCTTATGACGTTGGAGTGACGTATCTATGACGTCTAAAAATCACGTCGGTGTGACGTACCAATTTGATGAGCTTCGTCATTTAGTAAATTTTTCGATAATTTGCTATTTAGATTTTTGTTGGGTGACAAAGAATGCATCGATATACATTATTCAACAAAGTGAAGCCAAATTCGCCAACATCCTTTCCATTGCTATCAAACTTCTTTGTTTGCTTACATCTCGCCGACACAAACTACATAATTTTTGATACAAATACGAGTAACTGATTGCATTCTCTGATGGAGATGCGTACTGAAGGATGACGCTGCTGAATAGGCGATTGAATGAACATGACACAGGTGGGACCCACCAAGCAGACTCAACAATGCATAATCAATATTATATAATGTCATCAGAGGCTAGTGGTGTTTATCACACCATGTTGAAGGAATCTTTTTTACGTATCATCGTCAAATTCAATCGTCATTTTGACGTCATTATGACGTCAGTCGGACGTCACAGTTTGGTGAGTGAATGACGTCAATACGACGTAAGTAATATGACGTCATTGGGCTGTGACTTATTCACGTCATTATCACGTCGATGCGACGTCAACTACTGACTTCACCTTGGTCATTCAAGTGACGTAAAAAAGACGTCACTGAAACGTCATCTGGTTGCCTGGGCAGTGGCGTAATACCAAAAGGTACGCACAAATATAAAGCTCATTTTGTATACTTCTATAAATATTACATCATTGTGAACCATGTTATTAATTTCAGTTTTCTTTTCTCCTCCTACCTAGCAAGCCTGATGATGACTCCTAGGAGTCGAAACATGTAGCACGTATCGTATTTTATTAAAATTTACTTGGAGTGAGACTTTGAGTATGTTCTCTTAATTATTACATCATCGAGATATAAGGCATTAACGAACACTAGAAATTTCTTATCTTCTTTGGGCAGCTCAAATATAAATGGTAGCCATATCATTCTTGGAATTTTTGGAATTTTCAGATGTGACGCGTTTCAAATCTGAGAATGATGACAATCCGGAAGTAGGATTTTCAAAAACGAATTTCTATTTTCGACACATGTATAATTTCACTCCACCTTAAATATACAGTATGTCCCAAATTATTTCCTCACCATTGACTAAATCAAACTTCATTATAATAGTGCCCGTTATTATAGATACTATCAACTCAAATAACTCTACTAGTTAGGATAGAAACTGATATTTTTTGCTAATTTCCGAAAATAAGGAAGGAAAATATATACTTTCGGCAATGAGAAAGGAGATTATTTTGAACAACCTAACCTAACTCGGCTCTTAAATACACATTTTTCCTAGTGAACATTTTTTTCGAAATATTACAGAAAATCGCAGTATGTTCAGACCGCACTGGAATGGATGAAAAAGACCAGCAGAGATATATGAGAGTGACGGGATAAGAAAATAGGATTTGAGTGATGAAAAGGTATTTAGAAGTGTACTGTGTGCCGGTATTGTATTAATTTGGCGAGAAAATAAATCATTACTGCGATTCCCATTCTTAAAATCTTCTCAATCTCCAAAATTCCAGGAATCATTTTATCCAATGGCTCTTTCAATATACTCTCCAAAACCAGGTACATGATTTCACAGAAAACATTATAAAGTGAGCCAAATTCGAAACGGATCACCAACAAGGTATAGTTTTTCGATGCAAAAATTCCAGTAAGGTAAGGTAAGTGGGACCACGGGTTAACTGGGCCATAACCTTCTGATAAAATATACTTATGAGTGAATGCTGCGATTTGTACAGAAAAACTTAGCATTTCATGCCACAGATCTCAAACAACTAACCATACTTTCGTGATCAGACATTTGTCGACATTAATAAAGGCCGCAAACGCGCCAAGGTTGATTTTTCATGTAATAGGTGGAATTGTCTCAGGGTTTTTTTTTCATGTGCTGTCATCTTATGGATATGGATGTATTGAAATATGATATGAATGAATTGATTAATCGAAATTCATTCCAGGTTAGCTTAAATGGGAGGGGGGGCCTAGTTCGCCTTTAAAAAATACAGTTTCGTGTAACTGGGGCCGCAGGTTACGGGACGGTCCCAGTTTCCCGCAACGGCTGAATAGTAATGTTCCCAACAATCAAGTGCGGATCAATATTTTTTCTACAAGCGTAGGACATTAATTGATTTGTTCAATACAAATAGGAACAGCTAACAAGAATAATATGTTATCTATCTACTAATTATCAGTAATAGCTATTGTGAATGTATACAGTTTGACGCATTTTCTGTAGGTTTATTGCAGAAGAGCTAGCATGCCCATAAGGTGTTTGGCCTCTAGGTTTCAGACATTTCTAGGAAATTAGCCAAAAATACTTATTTCTCATTTGGTGTTTCAATTTTTTTATTGTTGGATCATTCAATAAAACGCATCGCATCTGTAGCTGGAAGTTTCTGAACACATGTATGATTGATTGTGGCAATTTCATTGGCTCGAGAATGACGGTAACGGTGTCACTCCGAAAATTACAATTGATAACTTGTGGTTTGATTGGCATGACAACAATAAATGTTTCCCACATCATCCATCAATCCAAGTATATAGAGGAATTTTTATAATTTTTCAATATTTCTTCGTTTTCACAGTAAGTAGTGCAATTTGATGAATGATTCTGAACAAACATACTTAATACTGCAACAAACAAGCTAAAACTACTATATTCCATCACCAACCACTTATATTTCATGATATCTTTTTATTGCACTAGTGGGGGAAAATGGCACTTCCCAAACTAAATTGCACGCGGGTATAGGGTGAATCTCGCACGACGCTTGTAGAAAAAAGTGTTTTAAGGTACTCACGGTCCCAGTTTCCCACAATGAATGTTTTCTACTATCCACTATAGTAGCAAAGTCCAAATAAACCATTATTTTGTGTTCACCCAAGGAAATAAGTCATTGTCATTTTTGATAACCAATTTGATTCAAATTATTAGTTGGAATGTGGCATAGCAACAATCTTTTTCAGCCTAGGCAGAGAAAGTACACCTTTTCTGCCTGTTAAGTGTCATAGAAAAGCCACTTTGATTGTCATTTGGAGAAAAAATATTTCACTGTACCTATGTGAAATATAGACAAATAAAGACAAAACAAAGGGAATCATTAGACATTTCTGATTAACATTATGGTAATAATTTACATACATAGAACGACTTCAAAATTCCATTAACCTATCTGATTCTGTCAGAACTTCATTAGAGTGGTCAGATCCTTCTGAAACAATATGATGGCTTCCAATCAAACAACCCTTCAACTGACATCCATTTTCTATTGTGGCTCCATCACAGACTATGCAGTTCTCTAATGCCACCCTGAAAAAAATACAAACTTTTTACATTCACTATCATAATACCATATAATATTGACAACTGAATATTGAACAATGACTCATGGTCTCATATATCCACATTATGTGTAATCCTTCAGCTTCATGTAATCTATTGGTATAAAGATCATTCTCACAAACTGAGTGATTCGAGACTATAGATTGATTTTAGATGAACTGACTATTATTTTTTTATAGTATTCATTTTGTGACATAATAATTTTATCTTGGTCTTCAATATGCTGAGTCATACAATGTGACCAAGATAAGGTTGCACAGCATGGGGATCAAGGAAACAGGAGGAGATACACAAATTCAGTAGAATTCGAAAAAAGTTGCGCATTCTGAGGGTCATACCAATGGCCTTCAAAAATTCTCAAAATTGTTTATAGTCCTTTGGTTATATCGAAAAAAAAAAAGAGTTTTTGTAACTTTTTTTGTACCTTATTATTACAGATATAAAAACTGAATATACTTATCCATAGCACATTTTGATGACATTTTAGGTAGTGGTTGAATTCTCTACCGAAAGTTTCATATTTGTAGAACCATCAATTTTTTTTAATTCAGTCATGACTATGTGTTCACAGATTCTGATATTTTTTTCATTCTGAATTCAACCATTTATCTCTCAAAGTGGTGTGAATGTGTTTCTACCTAGTTTTAGCCATCAACAATGTTTTTTTTTAATTCCAAAGAGGAAATAGCATCAGCTCAACTTATTTCTGACCATTCAGTGTTAAACATTGATGGACTGATGGAGCAGTCTTTTGATACTGAGAAGTGAAAGAAATGTTAAAATTATTCAATTCATGTTAATGTATTCTTACACAAATAAGGGATTCCACAATCACTTGGCCGGCGCTATCACCTGATTGGACACCCATCAATTTTTTTTCTCAGGAAATATCCTAAAAAGTTATTTTATGCAAATAACTTTGATATTGAAGCAAAACTGAGAGACAGTGTTACTGAAGCATTCGATAGTATTACGCCTGAAATGCTTAGAAATGTCTTAGAAGCAACTGTGAAAAGATGACATCTTTGGTAAGAAAATAGTCATAATTTTGACAATTTGTTAGAAATGTTTATGTTTTCAGTTACTGTTCATGTTGTCAAAGTTAAGTTACCAAGGTGATTCCTGTGAGAATCCATTAATCCAATAAGAAACAATTTGAAGCCCTGTTTTGAATAATTTAGTGATTTTTCTCAACTCTTCAGTAATGAATAACTACATCAATGTTCAACACCACATGATCAGGAATAAGCATGGCCTGGCTCATTTTTGGTCCGCCGGGATGGGCCTGCCTGTTGGAGCTTCATTTCATACCAGATATTTGGTAGAAATTTGAGATTTCATACATACGCATGTTCATTCTCCTCTTTTTCGCTTTCTGTCACCCCCCTGGCATGAATAACCCCCTCCACCCCCCTTATGGAACATAGCTGATGTATAGGCGCCTGTTTTATGTTCATTAGTTTTATATTTTGTTTATTGTTCTTGGTATCAAAGAAGTGTATGTATTCTGTTTCATCATTCAACTACTGGACGAAGTCCAGCAGTCAAGCTTGAAATTTGAGAAAAAAAAAACACCAGCAATGCACACTTTTTGACAGGTAAATTGGCCTGTTTTGGGAAATACGCCCGGCCCGTTTTCTACCTTCAGTCCGGCCCTGGAAATAAGTGAAACTGATGGTATTTCCTCTTTAAAATTCAGAAAAATCATTGATGATGGCTGAAACTAGATGGAAACACATTAAAAGAAAGCTTTCAGAATCTGTATATTCTGTTGGTAAAACTGGCTTGCACTGAGTGCATATTTTGTGTTCCATTGGTGAAACTGGTGGCAGGTTTTGAATTTCATTGGTAAACTGGTGCTAGTTTAGAGCTCCCTGCAACAGTTTTCACAGTTCTAATAGACAATACAACGGAAAATCTGTGCAATTTGAAAATGGCGAAATCATTGAATAATATGAATAGTTTGGAAGGCAAATTGATAGTGGCAATCTTATCATCATCAAGTATTGCTATTGATGAATGAATGTAACTCTGAAAATACTACCTATTTGATAATTTGAAAAGAATTTTGCTATCACTCTCTGGTATTGATGATGTAATTTAGTTGAAATGCTATTTCATAAGTAACATCCATAATATTTTATAACTTCCAGAAAGAAGAATTTGATCAAAATTCAACAAGTTATAAACAAGAACAAAATAACTCAAAACTGATCTAACCTTTAAGGATAAATTCATCATCATATTATTTTGTATTCCATTGGGAATGCAGAATGCAAAAGTTCACATTTTGGAGAAAATCAACATAGTGCCAGTGTAAAACTGATGCAAAACGAGTGAACCACCAGGTTTACAAATAAAATTCACTAATTATCAGGACCATTTATGGACCATATTAGAAATAAAAAGTTGATGATGGTTCTATGAATACAATACACAGGGTATAGAGAAATCAATATCACCATGTTGAATCTCATCAGAAGTTGCTATGGAAAAGTATTTTCAGTTTTCCTGTATCTCTAATAATAACATAGAAAAAACAATTAAATAGATTTTCCACAAATTCACTTTTTTCAATATAACTGAAAAACTAAAATAATTTTGAAAATTTTCAAAGGCTGATCATATGACCCTCTGAATGCACCTTTTTTCCATTTAACAGAATTTTTATCTCCTCCTGTTTCCAAGATCATAATGCTGAGCAATATTGGTACCTACTTACTTTTCTTTAATGGTGACATTGTTCATAATGACACTATTAAACACTCTACTGAAGCTGTTAACTTCTACATTTGACCCAATGATACTATTCTTGAATGATGTTTTTTCATTCAATTTTGCTCCTTCCCAAATGATACACCTATTATCTACCTGAGTTGATAAGATCACAGCTTTAGGTGATTTAAAAATCAGCTCATTGGAATTGGATATTTTTTCCCAGTTGTCAATTACCTGGAAAAATTAAATGTATGCCAATATTTTATTTCATACTCTTGTGAGGTTATACAATACCTTGGCATTAATTGACCAATAAGCTGGTAAAGTATTCACTCTGATCCCAAAAGTGTTCTTGGGGGCAATATAGGCAAAACATCTGATTGCATCTCCATGATAACTAGGTCTCAAATCACCAACATGATCATTGAATGAAGAAGCATCTCTGATAGCCAATTCTAACTCATCCTCCTTAGCAAAACTGTAAATATCACCTGGATCCCTACTATTCAGAATGGACTCTTTAGCTTCTCTCAATTTTGGAGCTCTGGAAAGTTGCTTTTTGATGATGTGTGGCAGTAGCTCACCTTTGATAGAGGTGATGTTTTCCTCACTCTTCAGATATTTGACAACCCAGTTTTTGAGAAGATATACATGTGAATCAAGTAAGTTGCTAAATATTTTGAGCTTTGTGTGTTTCTTCAAGAGGCTGCATGGTAAAGCTAATTCACTTTCAAAGTCACTAGCAGATGCCAAAAATACAAGTCTGCTAGTTTGTTCATCAATACCAATCAGATCTCTTTCTGAAAAATAAGATCTGATAGCCAAGAGTAGAGTAAGAAAAGCACAAAACATACCTGGTTTATGCTTTGATTTGGGACCTGGAACTACAATACCTTCATTATTCTGAGGATGTAATAACAATGATGCCACTGATGCATTATGAGCTCTGAAGATATTGAAAACACCTTTCAGATTCACTTCTGAAACAAAATCACATGACATAACCAGAATGTCTGATCTCAACTTGTCATGAAGTAACCTAAGACTATCTGCGGTTCCCATATCTTCATTATCATTGATACAAAAGTAGTCAATCTTCACTTCCAAATCAGTTTTTTCTAGAACACTCTGTATATCTGCTCTTTGATTTTCAAGTACCACTAAAATGATTTCTGAAAAGGAATATAGGGTATTGATGAACAACATTCATATCAACACAAACTACCAGAAAATCCTGCTAGTTGTAAATTATGCAAACAATACCAAACCAAAGGTTTTGGCCCCACTGGTAAAATACACTTTGGTTTTCCTCCTGTGATTTCAGACATTCTAGATCCCTTTCCAGCAGCTAGAACAACTGCTTGAAACTCCTCTTGGAAAGTCATGTTGCTTTTATTTTCAATTCTTCCTACTATTTCTGCTGCAAGAAATTAAATAATCATTGTATTCAATATAATTCTTTTAGTATTCGCACATATTCATAGAATTCGTAATTTTAAATCACGAAAATTTGGGTCAAGTATCAAACAGAACTGAAACTGTAAAAAAAAGGTGATCTTCATCTTCTTCTTTCTTCTTCTTATCTTCTTTTCTTCTCCTGACAGTCGACAGTCCTGAGTCATTGGTTGAGAAGTACACTTCCATCATTAGAAAAATGATATTACGAAGTGGAAATAAACACGAAATCAGAGTCACATTCAAATATCGAAATTTGAAATCTTAAAATCAAAGCGGCAGGGTCAGAGTAAGTACTCTGAGTCAATGGTCTGAGTGGTTTAGTAGTTAGGTGGTTATAGTCCTTTATCGTTACGGTCTTATGCTCCTACGGTCTGCTGAGAATTGAAACTGACAACAATGACAACTGACTTTAGGGTCTTTAGACAGTGACCAATGAAAGTGACTACTGACTTGTGACGTATGAATTAGTATTAGTGAATTTGTTTGTGTTGATTATTTATTTTGATAAACGATTTTCGATTACGATTTCCTTTTTATATTTTCGGTTCTTGTCAACATCCGAAAAAATTCGAATTACGAAAACGAAAGACTATATAGGTTCATGATTTAACAGAATCATTTTGAGGAGTTACCAATAATTTTAACACCAACAAACAGACAAAATGGGGCGCAGGAAATCAAAAAGGAAACCAGCTCCCAGAAGAAAGAATATTGAACCACTGGATATACAATTCAACTGTCCCTTTTGTAATCATGAAAAATCTTGTGATGTCAAGATGTAAGTGAGGAGATTTAATATACCTACCTGTTATTGGAAAAGAAACCCTTCAAATTTCAATCAAGTAGAAGTCAAACTGAAATATTGTACTTCATTTTGCAGGGATAAGGGACGAAGTACAGCTAGAATAACATGCAGAGTTTGCTTGGAAGATTTTCAGACAACGATAAATTTCTTATCAGAGCCTATAGATGTCTATAATGACTGGATAGATGCATGTGAAACTGCAAATTAGTTTATAATATATGTCAGTGCATACAGTGTTTTTATTACTGTACAGTGTATGATGTTAAAATGAGTATTATACCTAGGTAGGTATATTTATTACAGAAATGACTATAATAAGTGTGAAGTTTTCATTCACATTCAAGAATACTTATACAATTTTATAAGTTTAATGGGAAATGTTGAAGAAATCACAGAAATAACCTTCTGCTTTTTGAATGTACTTATTCAAAATTTAGTACAATTGGTAATGTGTGATGATTTTAATATACATGTTTTGAAGAATTTATTTTACTATTTTGGTTTCAAAATAAATTATCTTAGTAATTCTTAATTGATATTTAATTCAATAAATTCCCAATTTCCATCAATTATGAAGCTCCTAATGGAAAAGAAGAATATAAGGTGTATAAAGTCTACCTAAAATAATTGGTTGGCAAAATCAGCAAAGAGACATAAAATCAGATTTGGCTGGACCTTGGGCCTGGACTGAATCCAAAGGGGGGAAACATAATTTGCTCTTCAAATTATTAAAGTATGCTGACAGAACATTTCTAAATAATTTTTTTTTCAAATTCCATATTTGAATATAATATAAAGATATATATATATATATAGATGCCACCAGTGGAATAATTCCGATCAACCCCTTCAGAGGGGTAGTTTTTATAGTAATTTTCTAAAATCCTTGCTGACCCAGTATTTCTGGTTTGTATTTTTTCTTCAAATAACATTCGAATATTTTATGAAAATATGAAGATGCCACCAGTGGAACAATTCCGATCAACCCCTTCAGAGGGGTAGTTTATGCTTGTTGTTTTATAAAAATCCTTGCTGACCGAGCATTTCTTGTTTTTATGTATTCTTCAAATTGCATATTCGAATATAATATATAGATATATAGATGCCACCAGTGGAATAATTCCAATATCCCCTGCTTCAGAGGGGTAGTTTATTATACCTATAGTGTTTTTCAAAAATCCTTGCTGACCGTGAGTTTCTGGTTCGTATTTTTGCTTCAAATAACATATTTGAATGTTTTATAAAAAAGATGCCACCTGTGGAATAATTCCGATCAAAATCCTTTCAGAGGGGTAGTTTATTCTTGTCGTTTTTATAAAAATCTTTGCTGACCGAGCATTTATGATCTTTATTTGTTCTTCAAATTGCATGTCTGCGAATATATCATAGAATTATATATATAGATGCCAACAGTGAAATTATTTCGATCCACCCTTTCAGGGGGGTAGTTTTGTTCCTGATGATTTTCAAAAATCCTTGCTGACCGAGCGTTTCTAGTTCGTATTTTTTGTTTCAAATCACATATTTGAAAATTGTATGGGAATATAAAGATGCCACCAGTGAAATATAACTCTGATCCACCCTTTCCGATGGGTAGTTTATTCTCGCTGTTTTTCAAAAATCCTTGATGCTGGCCGAGCATTTTCGTTTGTATTTTTCCTTCGAATTGCTTATTATTTGATCATTTTATAGAGATATATAGATGCCACCAGTGGAATAATTCCGATCAACCTCTTCAGAGGGGTATAGTTATTTATATTTGCTGTTTTTCAAAAATCCTTGCTGACCGAGCATTTCTGGTTTTTATTTGTCCTTCAAATTGCATATTGAAATATAATATTTAGATATATAAATTCCACCAATGGAATATAATTCAAAGGGGTTGTTTTATATACCTGCTGTTTTTCAAAAATCCTTGCTGACCGAGCATTTTTGGTACGAGTTTTTGCTTGAAATAGTTCACTGAAATTAGTCGAAAAAACTGCCAAACTGCGGAATAATTCATACAAACCTCTCTTCCAACTATCGCATGATATCAACTTATTTTACACGAAACATATTTCGAATGGAATGCTTGGTCAGCGAGGATTTTGAAAAACAGCAGAACCCAATTACCCCTCGGAAGGGGTAGATCGAAATAATTTCCCTTGTGGCATCTATATATGTGTGACCCATTTGAAATGGAACCACCCCTGTTTCTTACGTAATCGTTGGGTAAGGATCCTGAAATTTGCTGGAGCGAGATCGAGATATACCAAAAATGCACTCTATGACCAAGTGGGGTCATCTTCAGTGATATACACTGCTCGCCAACCATCCATAAAACTACCCCAATTTCCGGAAAATGATATTCATTCAGCTTTGGAATCAGGACGCCCAATTTACTAACTATTCAAATTTTTCCTGGAAAATTTTCAGTTCGGAAAAATGAAATTTTGTCGCATTTTTTATGGAAGCACCCCCGTATCTCACGTAATTGACTTTATCTTTGGGCTTTCTCTTCCTCCGTCAAATTTCAGAACCCTACCTCAATAATTACGTGAGATACGGGGGTGCTTCCATGAGAAGTGAGACAAATTTTAATTTTACTGAAAATCTTCTAGGAAAACTTTGAATTTACTAACTTGGGCGTCCTGATTCCGAATCCGACGTGATTTTCAACCTATTTTGACTCCAAATATCATTTTCCGGAAATTGGGGTGGTTTCATGGCTGTTGGCGAGCAGTGTGTATCACACTGAAGATGACCCCACTTGGTCATAGAGTGCATTTTTGGTATATCTCTCGCTCCAGCAAATTTCAGTATCCTTGCCCAACGATTACATAAGATACAGGGGTGGTTCCATTTTAAATGGGTCACATGCACTGTATCTATACCGGGTGACCCGGAACCAATTTACCCCCCTGTATCTTCGTTGTTATTTTGTATGGATGTTTCAAATTCGGTACTTCGATTTGATGTTATGAATGTAAAATTCAGCAAGTATCAATCCAAATATGTCACTTCCGGTTTGACCGGAAGCGCATCCAATTTTTATATTTCAAATAGGAAGTATTATTTTTTTTGAAAATTAAAATTCGGTATAGAATTACCTTTACAATGACATATCACAATCATACTTTCAATTCACAATCTGCTGGTATAATTGACATTTTATAAAAAAAATTCTTTTTGTGTTCCCCTCGTAACGGAACATTTTCATGAAAGTGTGCTCTGGGAGATTGAACAATATCATGTAAGCAACATAAGTATATGATATTAGAATATATTTTTTTTTATCGCTTGGAGCGCACGAAAGGGAATCCCTATAATGTGCAAAAATACGAACTAGAAATGCTCGGTCAGCAAAGATTCTTGAAAAACAGCTGGAATAAACTGCCCCTCTGATGAAGGGATCTATCGAAATTATTTTACTGGTGGCACCTATATATCTATATGAAATATTCAAATATGCAATTTGAAGCGAAAACTCGTACCAGAAATGTTCGGTCAGCAAGGATTTTCGAAAAACAGATAGAAATAAACTACCCCTCTGAAGAGGTTGATCGGAATTATTCCACTGGTGGCATCCATATATCTCTATGAAACATTCAAATATGCAATTTGGAGAAAGAATACGAACAAGAAATGCTCGGAAAGCAACAATTTTTGAAAAACAGCAAGAATAAACTACGATAAACTATACCCCTCTGAAGGGGTCGATCGGAATTATTTTACTGGTGGCATCTTAATATTCTCATTAAATATTCAAATATGTCATTCGATGAAAAAATACGAACCAAAAATTCTCGGTCACCAAGGATTTTTGAAAAACAGCATGTATAAACTACCCCACTGAAGAGGTGGATCGAAGTTATTCCAGTGTGGTGACATCTTTATTATATCTTCAAACATTATTCGAATAAGTGATTTAAAAAAAAATACGAACCAGGAGTTCTCTGTCAGCAAGGATTTTTGAAAAACATCATGTATAAAGAACCCCCCTGAAGAGATGGATCGAAGTGATATTTAAAAAAAAGAACCAGAAATGCTCGGTCAGCAAGGATTTCTGAAAATCAGCAAGAAAAAACTACCCCTCTGAAAGGATGGATCGGAATTATTTTTTGTGGCATCTTTATATACCCATAAAATATCTAAATATGCAAGCAAAAACTCGTACCAGAAATGCTCGGTCAGCAAGGATTTTTCAAAAACAGCGAGTATATTGACTACCCCTCTGAAGGGGTTGATCCAAATAATTCCACTGGTGGCATCTATATATATCGCTATAAAATATTCGAATAAGCAATTCGAAGGAAAAATACGAACATAAACTGCTCGGTCAGCAAGGATTTTTGAAAAATAGCAAGAATAAACTACCCCTCTGAAAGGGTTGGTCGATTCCTTATCAGTTGTTCTCAAATGTTAGGTATCATTATGCTCACAAAAAATTGAATAGTGTCAATTATGTGCATTTTTTCAAAATCCCTTGAGTAGTTCATCATAGGAACGACATGTATGCCCATGATTGGCCTCTTTACGGTTTATATATAAAAACAGATTTATTTTTATCATACAGAATTTTTATTATATGAAATACTCACTCTATAGATGCAAAAAAATGAAAGGAATGCAGAGAAAACTCAAAATGAAGTGTAATAGTATTGAACGGTTCTCTTGAGTTTTCGAAATGGTGAACCTCAACTTTAATTTCATTGATTTTTGGTTGACCTAGAGACAACTGCCTGCAGAACTCATAGGCACAACAATGAAACTTCGTATTTGAGTGAGTGTTTCTTCATCGAATGACCATTCCACCGGTTATTATCAACTCCTTAAATTTTGATACAGAGGGTACGTGAGTTGAAAAATCAAACATATCAAAATTTGCCATTGAATATACCTAACTAACACCTAATACCCTTTACTTGACGTATTGCGTTCAAATTTTCTATGGGAATATTTCAGCTATGCTTGAATCGATAATAGGATATTCCAGCAAACATCAAATCTGTGAAGAGGTATATTCTCAGATATATTTATGAACACAAAGATTGGATATAAAGTGCTCAAAGAAACAAGTGAACCACTGAAATTTTCGACAATTTTCAAACTGCCTTAACTTTTTGAAAAATGAATGGATTTTCAATCGGAATGCAGTGTTTGGAAGATATAGGATCTTTCTGTTCAAGATTCCTTTTCAAAACTCGTCGGGAGTTTTTCTGTCATTATACACCAAGTGTTCGAAAAAGGTATTACAAAAATGAGAGAATTCAAACGCTCCCGTATTTCAGGGATTTTTTTTTTATTTTGCTATTAATCTTTTTTTTCGAACGTTCAAGCCAATATATATCTCGAAACGGTTTTGTAATTTTCCATATTCCTCATACAGGATGGTAAAAATCGATAATTTTTCATTTTTTGGTTTTCATCACATCATTATACTGACTTTGAAATTATGCAAGCCACATTCAAAATATTTGGCCGCTCTATACGATGGAACACATCCAAGAGAAAATGGATTCATATTGCGTTGAAATCCTCCGAAATTGAG